TTGATTGCAAATCGGCTAAAAAGGTTTATGGAAGAGACGATAATACGACACTTAGGCTCAAGAACACTTGTACTACTAAGGACCTTAATGATTTTTTCAAAGAAGCCTTATAAAAATACGCTCATTATCTAGTAATATCATGTTATGCTTGCCTTTCATGCCTCTCCTTTTCTTATTTTTCCCTCTGAATACTTCATTAAGTAAAATTTTTGGCATGGAAAAAAGGTGGTCTTTGCTTAATGCGATATACGACTCCAATACATCTGTTAAATGTCACTACAGTTTTTTAACGTACAAGAGGTGCAAACGGTGATTATGTAGTAATTAATAGTCGTCTTCTTTTTTCTACTTGAAAGCGATGGTCTTTTAGCTGGCATTTTGTAGCAAAGCAAAAAGCGGAAGAGCCATACACATTTTTCGGACAAAGAAAATAATAATTGCGCTGTTTTTGCCTCTGTATTTCAGGATATTTGCGATTTGTGACTACCAATATGATCAAGCTTGAGAGAAATTCTTTTCTAAATATTACACTAAAGTTTTCCTGTGGCTACAATTTTTATCCAGTGCAAATTCATTTTGGCTGTTTGAAATGCCTTTTTGTTGCTCCACTTTTTTAGTTGATATTGGTTACTACTGCTTTTTTATTTGCTTCTTCTTTTTTTTTTTTGTTCCCTTCTCTTTTCCGAGGCTTTCAACTTGTGCAGATTGAGATCGTTTGGTTTCGAAGCCGTTTTAAGATTTGACGTCGGGCTTGCGCAGAGCAACTATGCATAAAATTAACTCAAATGCTTAGAGACGATACCGGCTTTAGCGAAGCACTATAAATATATATAGGCGGATTCAATCCTAATTTCCACTGGGCGGGAAAACGATTTTGGCTGGAACGATTCCAGCAGCACTGGCAGTGTGCCACTATGCTATATGGAGGCACTCTGGAGATACCGAGGAGATTCCGGAAAAAGTACCTCCAACTTCTTTGTCAATTGTGTATATCAGTTGCTGTTATTGTCATTTTCTTCGCAATAGTCCATACTGTTTATATTCCAAATTTCTCCG